CCCCCCCGCGACCCCCCAAGACCCTCCGCACCTCCCCCACCGATGGTAACACCCCCTCGGGACCCCCTGCACCTCCCCCACCCACAGTAACCCCTCCCGGGACCCCCCGGGGTGACCCGGTGCCCCCCGGGTGGATTTGGGGTTGGCTGGGGGGGTGACCCCGGTGCCCCCCCCTAGAAGGGCTGTGGGTGGTCTGGGGGTGACCCCAATGCCCCCCAGGAGGGGTTCTGGGGTTGTCTGGGGGTGACCCAGGGGTGCCCCCCCAGGAAGGGTTTGGGGTGACCCCAATGACCCCTCAGGAGGGGTTTGGGGTGACCTCGGGGTGCCCCCCAGGAGGGGTTTGGGGTGACTCCCCAGGAGGGGTTTGGGGTGACCCCGGGGTGCCCCCAGATGGGTTTTGGGGTGACCCCGGGGTGCCCCTCAGGGTGAATTTTGGGGTGGCCCCAATGACCCCCAGGGGGGGTTTGGGGTGACTCCCCAGGGTGGGTTTTGGGGTGACCCCGGAGTGCCCCCCAGGGCTGTCGGAGGGTCCGTCGGAGCTGGAGCGGCGCCGCCGGGAGTTCGGCAAGAACTGGATCCCCCCGAAGCGCCCCAAGAGCTTCCTGGCGCTGGTGTGGGAGGCCCTGCAGGACGTGACCCTCGTCATCCTCGAGGCCGCCGCCCTCGTGTCCCTGGGACTGTCCTTCTATGCCCCCCCCGGCGCCCACGATGAAGGTGACACCCCCATGTCCCCATCCCCGTGTCCCCATCCCGATGTGTCACCCTCAGACTCTCCTTCTATGCCCCTCCCGGCACCCACGATGAAGGTGATACCCCCCAGTGCCACCCCCATGTCCCCATCCCGGTCCAGTGTCACTCCTGTGTCCCCATCCTGATGCCACCCCCTGTTCCCATCTCAATGCCACCCCCATGTCCCCATCCTGATGCCATCCCTGTGTCCCCATCCCGATGTGTCACCCTCGGACTGTCCTTCTATGCCCCCCCCGGTGCCCACGATGAAGGTGACACCCCCGGTGCCACCCGGTGCCACCCCCGTGTCCCCATCCCGGCCTGGTGTCACCTTCTGTCCCTATCCTGATGCCACCCCTGTGTCCCCAGCCTGGCTCGGTATCACTCCTGTGTCCCCATCCCCATGTGTCACCCTCGGGCTCTCCTTCTATGCCCCCCCGGTGCCCATGATGAAGGTGACACCCCCCAGGTGCCACCCGGTGCCATCCCCGTGTCCCTGTGGGTGACACCATGTCCCTGTCCCCCTCCCCTGTCCCCGTGGATGACACCGTGTCCCCTGTCCTGATCCCTGTGTCCCCCTGTCCCCATGGGTGCCGCCGTGTCCCTGTCCCCACAGGTGACACCATGTCCCCCTGTCCCCACGGGTGATGCTGTGTCCCCCCAGCTGACACCATGTCCCTGTGCCCACGCCCCGTCCCCGCAGGTGACACCATGTCCCTGTGGGTGACCCCATGTCCCTGTGCCCATCCCCTGTCCCTGTAGGTGACCCTGTGTCCCTGTGAGTGACACTGTGTCCCCTGTCCCCATCCCCTGTCCCTGTGAGTGACACCCTGTCCCCACGGGTGACACCGTGTCCCTGTGCCCACACTGTGTCCCCGCGGGTGACACCATGTCCCTGTGGGTGACACCGTGTCCCCTGTCCCCATCCCTGTGTCCTCCTGTGCCCACACTGTGTCCCTGTGGGTGACATCCTGTCCCTGCAGGTGACCCCATCTCCCTGTGGGTGACCCTCCGTCCCCGTGGGTGACCCTGTGTCCCCTGTCCCCATCCCCTGTCCCCATGGGTGACCCCCCGTGCCCCCGACTGACCCCGTGTCCCCCGTCCCCATCCCTGTGTCCCCCTGTACCCACGCCTGTGTCCCTGTGGGTGACATCCTGTCCCCGTGGGTGACGCTGTCCCCATCCCCAGCGTGCGGCCACGCGTCGGGCGGGGCGGAGGACGAGGGCGAGGCGGAGGCCGGGTGGATCGAGGGCGCTGCCATCCTGCTCTCGGTGGCCTGCGTGGTGCTGGTCACGGCCTCCAACGACTGGAGCAAGGAGAGGCAATTCCGGGGGCTCCAGAGCCGCCTGGAGCAGGAGCAGCGCGTGGCCGTGCTCAGGAAGGGACGCCTGGCACAGCTGCCCACGGCAGAGCTGGTGGTGGGGGACATCGTGCAGGTCAAGTATGGTGAGTGGGGGGCACTGGGAGGGGGTAGGGGCACTGAGGGGTCACTGCCTGGCACAGCTGCCCACGGCTGAGCTGGTGGTGGGGGACATCGTGCAGGTCAAGTACAGTGAGTGGGGGGCACTGGGGGGCACAGGGGGGCACTGGGGGGTCATCCAGGTCAAGTACGGTGAGCAGGGGGCACGGGGGGGGAGTGGTGGGCATGGGGAGAGGGTGGGGGGCACTCAGTGCCAGCCCCATGGGCCCACAGAGGTGCCACAGCCCCGGTGCCAGCCCCATGGGCACACAGAGGTGGCACAGAGGTGCCACAGCCCCACGGGCACACAGAGGTGGCACAGCTCTGGTGCCAGCTCCATGGGCACAAAGAGGTGCCACAGAGGTGCCCCATCCCCACGGGCACACAGAGGTGCCCCAGAGGTGCCCCAGCGGTGCCCCATCCCCACGGGCACACCCAGGGCGCCCCGGGGTGACCCCGGTGCCCACCCCCTTCCCTCCCAGGTGACCTCCTGCCCCACAGACACACCGAGGTGCCCCAGAGGTGCCCCAGTGGTGCCCCATCCCCACGGGCACACCCGGGGCGCCCCGAGGTGACCCCGGTGCCCACTTTCCCCCCCCCCAGGTGACCTCCTGCCCGCCGACGGGGTCCTGATCCAGGGCAACGACCTGAAGGTGGACGAGAGCGCCCTGACCGGGGAGTCCGACCACGTGCGAAAGGGCCCCGACCGGGACCCGCTGCTGCTCTCGGGTGAGGGGGATGGGGGCACCCCGGGGGGCTCGGGGGGGGCCGGGGGGGTCCCTCTGTGACCCCCCAATGTGTGTGTTTGTGTCCCCCCCTCTCCCCCGGGCTGGCACAGGCACCCACGTGATGGAGGGCTCGGGCAGGATGGTGGTGACGGCCGTGGGCGCCAACTCGCAGAGCGGCATCATCTTCACCCTGCTGGGGGCCGGGGGGGACGAGGACGAGGGGGACAAAAGGGACAGGAGAGGTGGGACCCGCCCCCTGTGCAACCAGGGGGGACCCGGACACGGCTGTGCCCAGGGCCCGGGGTGTCCCC